AGTCACAGACCAAAAGTTCCGTCTACTCTGAAGCTTCTGGAAAGCATTGAAGTTTCTCTTCTTCTCTCTCTTGAGTTTTTTCATTTTCTTCTCCTACATCAAGAATCAGGCGTTACAATTCTCAGGAGGGCTGCCCTGAGCCCAGTCTCCTACGCGCGAGCACCGAGGGCTCACCGGCACAGGGGTGCCCCCACACAGTGAGTGACACCCTCTGCAGGAGGCCTGCCACCCAGCACTGAGAAGGTACCCYAGCAGCGTGGCCCACAGCACCAGAAACACCACCTGGAGCTGGCCGAGCTACTTTCTCCGAAGCTTCAAACTGCTATCAGAGTTCAGGACATCCCTGCCCTTGGCCCAAGCTGAGCAACACCATCCTACTGTGAGCCCACAGCCATGTCGTGTCCTACCTTTCCTCGATCAAACTCCTCATCCCAGTGGTCAAGCAAGGTCTGGGTGCGGGCCAATCTGTTGTCCTCGATGGCATCCTGACTGATCGCGGACGGCTCCCCACTCCAGCTCAGAACTGCACAACACACCCGCCATCAGCACATGTGGGCTCCCAGACCCTGTGGGCCACTCTGACCCTGTGCGCCAGGGAAGCCTGTCTACCCCCACATGTTCAAAATGTGTGAGTGCCACCTCTTGGCAGAGACAGACATGAGAGGGAAAAGGGGGGSGCACAGTGACCAAGACGGTCAACATGGGAACAGCATCAGTGAGTCGGTGAGCCCTGAATTCTGCATCACCAATCATASAGCTCACTTTTTTTTTCCTTTTTCTTTAGGGACTGAGCCTAGGGGCACTTCACTGTTGAGCTCCACTCCCAGTCCTTTGTAAAATTTTCATTTTGAGACAGGGTTTGGCTAAGTTGCCCATGCTGGCCCCATCTTGTGGTCTTCCTGCTTCCCCCTCCTGAGCAGCTGGGATGACAGGTGTGCACCACTGTGCCCACCTGTTTTTGTAAATCCACGCCCATGTTTGAGAAACAATGTCTCATGCTTGCTCTCAAAATCTGCCTTACAAATGAGGTTCCGAGCCCAGCCTGCATTCAGGGTCAGGAGCTTTCTCCCCAGCTGGGACCTTGACACTGCCCACYGTACCTAGAGCTGTGTGTGCGGCTGTCATGCCCACAGACCCCTGGAGCTGCTCTAGATTCMTCTAGGAACAGGGCCCATGCTTGCCCACCTGCAGAGGACAGTACCACGTCCTGTCTGGACATACCTTTGCTCCCGTAGGCCTTGTCAGAGGAGTATCTGAGCAACTCCTGGACCACATCGGGTTCTCGCTCTCTGTTCCAAGGTACAAGAGGAGCCTGTCCTGGCCCTACAGATAGGAGATGGGGGGACTGTCACACACCCCTCACTGCCAGCCACCTGCAGAATTCGTGAGGGGTAAGTGCTCACCCACACTGCAGTGCCCAAGTGCTGGTAAGTACTCTACTCAACAGAGAAGGCTGCTGTCCATGTCAATTCATGAAAATGACAAGGGCAGAAAATAAGAGAAGCCAGAAAGCACAGCCCTGCAGCCAGCAGGAGGGCACACCGTGAGTGGACCCTGCCTCGTGGCCAGAAACAGCCTGCTACAGTTTAGATCTTAGGGTTCCCCAGAGGCCCACGCCTGGAGGCTTGTCCTCAGGAAGGTGCTACTGGGAGGTGATAGAAGCTGTAATAAGCAGGGCCTAGGGGGAGGTTCTCAGGGCACAGTGGGACCCCAACTCCTTCCACTAGTTTTCCACGTCCCAAGGTGAGAGCCCTGCTCCGCCACATACTCCCAGCACTACATGCTGCAGACCTGGGGCTGGGCCCCCAGAGCTGTGAGCTAAAACACACCCCTTTTCTCCTAATTATCTCAGGCATTTGTGCTAGTGATGTAAAGTTAAAGACTTAACGCATGGGCCAGTGCTCAGCAAAGGCCTCACACAGGACAGGGAAGCACCCCCATCACTGTTGCCACCAGGGCTCCTCGAAGCTGCCTGTGTAGTGCCTAGATGTGGAGCATCCCCCAGAGGCTCATGCACTGAAGGCCTAGTCCCCAAAATGGCACCATCCAGAGGCTGGGCATGGGCTGTTGGGAAGTCATGGGGTCTCTGACCTCGTCAGTAATCAATCCATTGACATCAAAGTGGACCCTTGGGAGACGGGTTAAGGGGCTGGCAGGTGGGGTGTGGCGGCAGGAAGTAGGTCACTGGGGGGCACACACTAGTACTTATCCTGTCCCTGGCCCCTTCCCCTCTCTCTGCTTTCTGGCTGCACAAACTGAGCTGCCTTCCTAAACCACACCTTCCACCCCAGGCCTAGGACATGGAGCTGCCCACCATGGACGGAGACCTCCGAAACTGTGAGCAGCCTTCATCAGGTATTTTGGTCRCAGTGACAGAAAGCTGACTAATGTGCCCAGAGTGCTCACCCAGACGGTCCCCAGGAACCTGGCCATTCATACTCCACACGGGGACTGCAGAGACACTAGGCCTCAGCCTCTTGGGGCCCTCCGGATGATCGTTCTCTTCTTCCTCCCGCTGCGCTTCCCGCTTTCTTTTCCTCCTCTTCTTTTTCCTTGGAGACTCCATCCTGGATGCAGGCTCTCTAGGGTCAGGGGAGGAGCAGCTGCCGGGAGTCGGAGGCAGCAGTCAGAAGTTGAGAGCAACGCACAAAGACGGGCACCCCAGCACAACAGGACCCCTAGGGTGGCACATCGCTCACTCTGCACTGGCTTAGAGAAGTGGCTGGGTACATGGGGGCTGGGCGCCCACAGCCACACCAGCGTGACGCTAGTGCAGCTGGAACAAGCCCTACTAACTACACATGCAGGCTGCTGTGGCCCCAGAACACACAACCACCCTGCATCTTTGGACACCCTGCTCATGCAGTGATGGCCATGGCTTAGAAGCACCTGTCCTCTCTGTTGTCAGTCACTCAAGGGACTGAGGTCCACCAACAGCCTCAGAGACTACATTTTTAGGATTCCAGAAAAGCATATCTTTGTAGACTGCACCCACCTGGGAATGGATTATTTCACTTCTGATTTTTTTTTTTCCTGAAAAATTTTTTGGAGCTGTATGCGGAGAGAATGCCTTTATTTTATTTTTATGTGGTGCTGAGGATCAAGCCCAGTGCCTTACACATGCTAGGCAAGCGATCTGCCGCTGAGCTATAGCCCCAGGYCTGATTTTTTTTTTCCCTTTTTGGGCAGTAGGGATTGAACCCAGGGTGCTTAACCACTATGCCACATCCCAGCCCTTTTTATTTTTTGAGACAGGGCCTTGCTAAGTTGCCCAGGTTGTCCTTGAACTTAGGTTCCTCCCGTCTCAGCCTTCTGAGTTGCTGGATAATGGCATGTGCCACAACACCCAGCGTGCTTCTGATTTCTTGATGGATAGACCGGGGCGTRTCTCTGACCTGTGCTCACCTGGGCCAAGGTGGGTCCTGGAGTAGCCCGACTCTCCCGAATCCCTCCACTCCTCTCCTCCTCCGCTTCCTGCTACTCAGGTGGTGGGCTTCTAGGACGTTTGCCTGYGGCCGTGTGCCCTCTTCCTCCTGTGGATCAGCTGCAAGCTCTGCCTGGTGCTTCTTCCTGCTCTTGGGGCTCCAGGGCTGCCCCCGAGTCTGACCCTCCTGAGGGGCTATGGCGGCCGTGTCCTCTGGACACTTCCTCTTCTTCCTTTTCCTCTTCCTGCGGGGYGCCACAGCTTCTCCCCTGAGGCACTGGGGCTGACGTGCCACTGAGCCTAGTTTCTGGGGCTCTCCTGTGAGCAGCTTCTTCTTCTTCCTAGAGGGGCTCTGAGGGGCCTTGCTGGCCTCCAGTGACGGCTGGTATGAAAGGGACGTGAAGTCCCCATTGACCTGAGGCAGGGCAGTCCAGGAAGAGGAACGGCTCTGTGGCTCTGAAGTCCCTGGGGACTGGGGGCTACTACTGGTCAGTGATGTAGAGGGAGGGCTAACAGGCGGCTTTGGATGGCTGGATGATCGGGGGATAGGTGACACAGCCCTGTGGGGACAGAGGATGATAAAGAAGGTCATTCTGAAAAACCCAGCAGAGCTCTTCCTCCTGCCCACCTTCATCCCCTTTTCCTGTAATTCTCAGACACACAAGAATCACCCGAATGTGAAGACAGGCTGACAATAAAATCCAGAATCTCTTCAGATCAGAGTTAGTGAGAAYTGTACGTCACACTTCCTTGAGAGTACGAGGTCACAGTTTTGTTTTTTTTTTTAACTCTATTGTTTCTGCTTGTTGATTCCGACCTGCTGAGCAACAGTTCAGGAGAGTCCCATCTGCATGCACGTCTCAGCCCCAGAGCAAGGCAGACCCTGAGGACAGCAGCCTTCTCAGGAGGGCAGGCGCGGGCCGCACACCGCAGCTATTTTCCTCTGACTCTGGGCCAGTAACTCAGGACCACGACTTATAAAGCTGAGCTGTCCTGCAAGGTGTGCAAGGGGCTCCAGACCCATAGCGCTCATCTGGCCAGAGCAGCAAGGCTGCCAACCTCAAAGGATGACTGCACTCAGTAGGACTCTCGTCACTGTCACCGTCACCTCAACCAGGGCAGACCACAGCACCAGAGCAGCTGTACACCTGGACCCCAAGGCTGGGCCACCCCAGGTGTTCTCTGGAGTGTTTTTTGTTCTTTTTTTGGTGAGGTGGAGTGAGTAATCAGGGATTGAACTCAGGGGCACTCCACCACCGAGCCACGTCCCCAGCCCTATTTTGTTTTTTACTTAGAGACAGGGTCTCACTGAGTTGCTTAGGCCTCTCTTTTGCTGTGGCTGGCTTTGAACTCGGCATCCTCTCAAGCAGCTGGGATTACAGGCGTGCGCCACCATTCCCGGCTCCCCTGGAGTGTTTTCATAAAGGTTATGTGACAAAGAAACCAAGAGAAAATACCCAACAGATGTCTGGATATTTGCAGACTACCAAGTACAAAACTACAAGGCTAGGGTCAGGGGTGCACACCGAGTGGGGACGGTCCCAGGTTGCCTCTAGGGTAAGGTAGGTGGAGTCACGCAGGGAGAGTCCAAGAGGCCATGTCCCTCACCCGTGCCCTCTCGCACGCCTTCCCGGCTGCCCAGGGGTTCCGGTCCCCATTAGCCTCCACTGTTGTCGGGGAGACACTGCTCTGCCCTGGGCACTCTCGAGGGTGGCGAGCTCCTGTGAGGGCAGCCCACTGGGAGGGGCAGGAGGACTGGGAAGCCTATCCACAGGTATGAAAAGCCCCAAGGCAGAATCAAGCCTCCCTACTCCAGAAGCCACACCCAGCCAATGGCCAGGAGCCCCTGGGGACCCTCTGAGGGTTGAGGCGGCAGGGCACACTGCTGGGAAAACAAGATGCGACCCTGGCTGGCAAAACGGATGGCCCTGAAGGCCTCCAGGCCTCTGAGTTCACTCACAGCCTTTCTCTTCCCAGTGAAGCTCTGACCTGGGGCTGGCCAGGGGCTTCAGGACAGGGAAGCCCTCGGCACACCCAGCACCACACACGAGTGGCAGACAGACGAAGACTGTGACAAAAACAGCAAGCCAGGACACAGAGACCCTCTGCCATCGACCAAGCGGGGTCTGCTGCCGAATGGAAAGGGAGCAGGCAGGAGGGGACCCCATCCTGGACCCTCATGGCTCCTCACCTGCCATGCACCCTCACCATAGGAGAGAACCAATGGAACCCGACAAATGCCTGGATCGGGCCCCCGCCCGAGCTTACCTGGTTCTACTGACAGCCCAGGTGGAGGCAACGACGGGGTGAGCAGCTTCCATGGGGGAGGTGAGGTCGGAGAATGGTGAGGGGGGAGGTGARTGGAGGTCATTGCCGGTCGCCCTCCGCAGGGTGCTGGCCTGCAGTTATTGACATAAATAAAAACTTGGTGGTCTAAAAAAGGTTTCCGTGAGTGAAGAGGGAAAACAAAACAAAACAAAACAACAAACAAACAAACAAAAAAAAACAAGAAACAAAAACAGAAAAACAGGGCCCAGAAAGGATAAGGGGGCAGGAAGAGAAAACAGGGGAAGGGAGAGGAGGGATGGTAGGAGAAGAACCAGAAGAGTGTTGTTGGTTAGAAATAAAAAGGAAGAAGGAAGGAACTTTAACAAAACCTCAGCACGACACAGCACGGTGTCGCACCCCAGCCCCAGAGGCACCCCACCCCACCTGCACAATGCCCCCAGGCTCACGCTGCCCCAGTGCCCCTGCCACCACACGTGGCCGGGTGAGCCTGGCTCTCGCCCTGGGGCCCACTTGAGCTACTCCACCTGCAGCAGCGATGGAAGCCCACCCTGGGCCCAGCCCCAGGAGGACTGGATGATGGACTCCCTCAACCCCCGCCCCCCAGAAGGCCCTTCTGCAACCTGCAAATCACCAGGGACGCCCAAAAGGCACTCGGTACCTCTGGAATGAGGAAGGCCACTGCCTTCAACATCTCCCACTGCCCCGCTATGGCCAGCTGGCCTGAGACCCCTGTGCCCACCTTCCTGGCAGACAGGGCCAGCCTCTTGGCTGGYGGTGGAGACATGAGGTTCGCAGGCTCAGTGGTGGCGCTGCCCAGGGCGGGSGACTTCAGCTTCACCACTGCAGGATCGGCTTCACTTGGTGGTGCTCTGGAGGGACCGGAGGGACAGTCTGTTTCCTGAGAAGCACAGATGCGGACGGCCGTGCCCCCGCGGTCCTGTGGAGCCTTGGCAGGCTCACTGCTGGCAGAGTGCTCCGGGCTAGAGCTGCTAGAAGCCCCCTTCTCAAGGTCCGTGCTCCCGTCCTCCTCCTTCAGCCCATGCCCATTTGCAGTGGCGCTGGCCAGGAGCTTCGGTGAGGTAGAGGGGACAGTGTCTCGGCTGGCCCAGGAGCCCTGCCGATGGCTMCCAGATTCGCTGGTACCAGGGGAGCCCTGAGGAGTCCGCAGGGACGGGGAGAAGTGCTGTGGGGGAGTTGGCTTCTTCACCTTCTTCCCAGGCTCCTCCAGAAGGGTGGGGGTGTGGGGGGGGGTTGGGAGAGTCTGGGGAAAGGTGACCCCAAGGGCAGCTTTGCAGGAACACATCCATTCTGTGACTTCAGGGCCGGCACAGAGCTGTTCCTGGAAACAGGCACGCCGATCTCCTCGGGGACCTGCAGCTTCCTCACCAGCACAGGGTCTGGTCGCTGAGGGAGAGCAAGGGGAGAGCAGTCAGGGCCTCTGCGGGCGCTGGCCAGGCCCCGCCTCGAGGACAGAGCAGCAGTCAGCAGCAGGCACGAGGCAAAGGCTGGAACGGGCGTGTGGTAAAGTGCTACTGTCCTGACCGGTTTTAGTATTCATGACCATCTTCACAGCAAAGCAGAATGTTGTCACCAAGTGAGAAAAAGTACAAAGAAAAAAGGTCCCAAAGAGCCAACACTAACAGCCACTTCTGAGTGGTCTGGTGCACAGGTGTGTCCCCCTTTTGTCTCAAGGCCACACCTGAAGCCTCTCCCCAGGTTCTGCTCAGTGATGGCTAGCGTACAGCCTGTGCTGTCTCCTGCTGCGGGGACAGCACACTAGTAGATGAGTCCTTCCTACATTCACTGCAAGTGGATGAAAATACTCTTAACTCTGTGTTTAATGCTTCATCTGGACCCTTCCCTGCTTGACCCCAAAGCTCCAGAAGGCCTCTCTCCAATCTGCACTGCTGTGGGCTTGCGCCACTTTACCCTCGTACCCATGGAGGGGAAATGCAGGGAGGTGCCATCATCTGAAGGAGCTTTTATGTTATAAATGTTAACCTTCTGGGGCTGGGGCTGTAGCTCAGTGGTAGAGTGCTTGCCTGGCATGTGTGAGGCACTGGGTTCAACTCTTAGCACCACATATAAATAAATAAATAAAGGTCCATCAACAACTTWAAAAAATGTTAATTTTTAATTGTATCCATTGAAAAGAAAAATTTTATGTTGGGAATCGAACCCAGATCATTACAACATATGTGTACCACGCACTACGGCTGACTATGCCCCCAGCTCCTTGTTCTACAATGTTTTAGTTTCTTTGTTTATTTTTAAAATTTTATGTATTGGGCTGGGGTCACACATAGCTCAGGGGTAGAGCCCTTGCCTAGCATGCATGAGGCACTGGGTTTGGATTCTCGGCACCACATATAATAAATAAACTGCATTCAGTTTTAGTTCAGCCAATTTATACTTTTTCTAAATTCTCTCTCGATTTTAAGCTTAGAATGTCTTCCTTTTTCTAGAGGTTTAATTAGAATGCACTTTTATTTTCTTTTGAGATTTTTGGCCTAGGTTTTATTTTTTTTGTTTTTAGTGCTGGGGATTGAACCCAGGGGTACTCCCCAGCCCTTGTTACCCTTATATTTTTTGATACAGGATCTTGTTAAGTTGCCAAGGCTGGCCTTGAGCTTACAATCCTCCTGCCTCAGCCTCCCACGTACCTGGAATTACAGGCATGGGCTACCATGCCCAGCTGCCCATATTTTATAATAGTCTATGCTTTGCTGTTTTCTAACAGGAATAAGTCTTTCTATTGCACTGCTACTGAAATGTTCTAGAATACTAGAACTCGCACAATCCTGTTTAAAGCAAAACAACATTTATGCAAGCAACTGCAGCATATGTGGAAAACTCCGTGTAATGAAAACACTAATGGTTAAGTGCAACAGCTTTGCAGATGTGCCCGCACAGGATCCCGGGTGCCTGTAGCCACCCTCAGGTACAACTCCTCCGCCTGTGGCCCTCCTGACCCTGAGAGCTGTTGCCGATTCTGCAGTTAGATCATGCACTTCAATTCCTACACCAATTCCAATGAGCCTCATTTCCACTTCTCTTTTCTTGGATGCGGAGGGAAAGATAGCTGTCCACATGTAACTACCCCACTGCAGGCTGGAAAATCACTGCTGCCTGCCTGGTGTGGGCTTAGCTCTGGCCAGAAGGAAGAAGTCACTTGGTGACAGTTGCCAGGGCCATTGACTCTAAATGGAAACGGCTAATCACCTTGCCAGGAAAACTGAGTTCTCAACTGCTTCAATAGAAAACTTCAAGTACCCACAAAGATGGCTTCCAGGGACTCCCTGACGGCCGGCATCTTGCCACAGGGCTTCACTGTGCTTTCCTTAGGCTGTGMAGACCCAAGTGCTTCCCTATTGCTAAACCACCCGGGCAAACTGCAGACACAACGTCCTTTCACCCTCCATGTGTCCAGCTGCTGGTGAAGGAGGATGATCCCTACAGAGCCCCAGGATGGTTATCAGAATCAGGACAGTCGCCTGGCACACACTGTGCACTCAGTGCTGGACTTCAGCTTGGGCTATCAGTGAGCATGTCTGGACAACAGCAGGCCCAGAGAGCAGGACTGATGCCCCTGGGCATCAGAGAAGAGCTGCTGGCTCAGCCTCTCATGGTCCTCTCTTTCCTCTACCCAACGTCCGTCAGCTGATGGCCGGTTGAGAAAACAAAGCTGACAGATACAAAACCACTACCTGAACTCCTCCACTCAGCTAAGGTTCCCCCATGAGAAGACTGGACATCTGTGATGCATGAGACAGGAGCTCCAAGAGCCACCCATCACCCCATCATCTTTTTTTGTTGTTGTTCCAAGGATTGAACCTAGAAGCACTTAACCACTTGAGCCACATCCTCAGCCCCTCCTTTTTTTTTTAAACGTTTTTTTAGTTGCAGGTGAACACAAAGCCTTTATTTTTATTTATTTATTTTTATGTGGTGCTGAGAATCGAACTCAGAGCCTCACCCGTGTTCAGTGAGCTCTCTACCACTGAGCTACAACCTCAGCCCCATCCTGAGCCCTTTCTGAGATAGGGCCTCACTAAGTTGCTGAGGCTGGCTTTGAACTTAGATCCTCCTGCCTCCACCTCCCTAGCTACTGGGATTGCAGGAGTGCACCACTGCTCCCAACCCACCCCATCATCTCAGTACCTTTGCCATTGATGGGGAGGTAGCTACGCCGTTGCCCATGTTCTTCTTGGYATGATCTAGAACCACACTTGGGCGGCTGGGAAGGGTAGAGCCTGCCTTAGAGATGGGGCTCTCGGGACTTTTCTTAGAGCATGGAATTCTGCAGAGGAAGGAAACAAGAAACTTGTACTGAAGTCCAAAGTTACTACAAAATGGATAGCAAGGGAGAATTGGGGTAACTTGAAGTTGAGGTTATGTTTCTTTTTCAGGAAGGGTGAGCAAAGGTAAAAATGAATGAATGAATGAATGAATGAATGAATAAATAAATAAATAAATAAATAAATAAATACCCCAAACCCCCGAGGGAACCTAACAGGTCTCTTGAACTCACTCTGCCCTTAACCAACAAGAGGCCAGACAGAGCCTCAGACGAGGCTATGTGGGAGGGCCAGGGCCAAGTCTGGGCAAAAGTCTTCCAAATTAGAGGCTCAAGCACCATAAGGCAAAAGACCCCTCATATGTGCATCCAAACCTCAGCAGGGTGGACAGAGCAGCAAAAACACCTCAGTCACCWCACCCTTCAATCTCTAGGTCAGGGAGCAGGCCAGGAACAGGCCCCACCACCAGTGGCCTTCCACGCCCATAGGATGGCGTCCTCACAGGAAGGTGCGCCGCCCAGCTGCCACAGGGCAACCAATCATTTGGGGTATCATCACAAGACAATAGATAGCTGTCCAGGGAGCTTCCAGGCAGCATCCACAGAGGGCAGAGAGAATCCCGTCCTGCCTCCCCAGGCTCTGGCTCTACTCCACAACCAGAGGAGCTCACTGAGGTCCCTCCTAGGGGACCAGAAGCATGGCACCTGACTCAGGGACAGTATCTGTCCAACCAAGTTCCCTCCTACTCAATCCCCAATTTCTTCCACACAGGAAAAGTGGGGAGAATAGGGCTCCTCACCGCAGGTAGAAGAGCAGGTAGGCCTGCTGGTTGAGAACCACCTTGACGTTGCTGGAATGGACCAAGGAGTCRTTCATCTGGTACCACTGTCCATTGCTCGCCTGTGCAGCACGGGGTTGTAGGAAACAAAACAATCATTTCAACAAAACAACATGAGGCATCTTACGGGTACCCCGCTGCTGACTAACCAGTAGCCATTCCTCACTACATGTGTACCACCTGGAGGCTGGGGGACATGGCTCAGACCTGCCTGGCACACGTGAGGCCCCAGGTTCGATTCTCAACACCCCCCCCCACACACACACACAATGTAATGTCTGTACCCTCCAAATGGGACCCCAAATTGTGCTGAGTTCCAGTTACTTCCTAATGTCCCTCCTAAAGGGGACTTGGCAGATCTAAGCACCACAGCATCTCCCTAAACTTCTCCAGGTCTAAGGAGACAGGCAGCCAGTTCTCCAGCAYCAGGATGTCCCACTGGCCCCAGAACACTACAGCTTCTATTGGAACTGTTTTGGTTTATTTTTTATTTTTGGTACCAGGGATTGAACACAGGGGCACTTAACCACGAGCCATATCCCCAGCCCTTTTTATGTATTTATTTTAAATTTTGACATAGGGTCTTGCTAAGTTGTTGAGGCTGCCTTGAACCTGTGATGCTCCGGCCTCAGCCTTCCAAGCTGCTGGGATTACAGGCATGTGCCACCGTGCCTGGCTGGAACCATTTTTAAAAACATCTTTCCATTCCATGCACAGAGGCCACAAGGACCTGAACACAACTGTGAAACATCACCACTTTCCAGAATAAATGTGCAGAGGCCAAGTGTGACTGACAYAGGCAAGGCCAGATGGCCCCCAGAAGGCAGCGCCAGCCCAGCAACCAGGGAACCTGGGCAGAGTGTAGTAGCACCCACCTTCACGTAGCAGTAGTAGTGCCCGGCATGGCAGCTGTAACCTGAGTGGACCAAGACAGCGTAGAGTCCATACATGACAGGATCGCCATTACTCTGGGACATATATGGGCGGATGTTGAGGAATTCCGGATAGCCTACATCCTGTTTGAAAATTCAAGAAGAAGCAGATCATCTTTATCCCTGAATCAATTTGCCTTTTCTATGCACAACCACATGAAATGCACCACTTGGCTTTCTTTAACAATCTGGGGCCCCACCCCACACACATACTGGTCAATGATCAATGACAAAGGTCAAGCAGCCAAGGTGTGAGCCCTGTTCAACCCACSTAGGGGAAATGATCTGATTGTGCCGTTTAATGAATTACAATTGTTCTCTTCTTTGTCACACATCTAAGCTAGCTCTCACACTACCTGCCCCCACCTATAAAATGAGAAGAGTAACTGGTTCCCTTCCCCTCTCCTCTACAGGAGCATGGCCAAGGGAAGAACAGGAGCGTGTACTGGGGTCTAGGTCTTCAAAAACAAAGATGCTGAATGGATTCAGCCACCTGCTCTGGTAAGTTATGTTTCTAATAGATTGGGTCAGAACAACACCTATGCCAACATTAAAAAAAAAAAAAATCCCCCCCAAGAATATTTACATATTTTAAATTACATGAGCTTTACAAGCAACTTGAGAACTCTAGAAAAAATGTTTTAAAAAATTATCTTTCCATAGACAAATGCCTTGCCCCAAACCACAGAGCCAGGCTCTAGCTAAGAACACAGACATCTTTCAGTAAATGCCATTGTGCAAAAAGTAGGTCTTTGCTCCACATGTCACAAAAAGCCACAGCATGCAACCACGCCTGTTTTAGACATGAGACAGAACACAGCAGACCACAGCCACAGTCCTGTGTTCACCAGACTTGCTCTTCAGGAAGCCTGACCTTCCCCACTAACAGCACCTGAGGACAAGCAGCAGCTATGGGGAGGGGTTGGTAAGATGGCAGCTCTTGACCTGGGCTGCGTGCGACAGTGACCTCAGGTTTTGATGAAACACAGGTCCCCGGGCCCTGGGGTAAAGAGCAGCCCAGCTGCAGAATGGAGTGCAGTGAGCACGCACCTTGGTGATCTTCCCCCCACTGGAGTTGGCAAAGCGCTTGAGGGAAAGGGTGAGCACGTTGGAAGTCCTGTGGATGGTGAAGCGCTTGCTGGCGGGGACCTTCTTCTTGCATCTATGGAGATGGTGAGTGAAAAGGTGTCAGTTCACACTCTGAAGAACACCCTGTTTGCACTATGTGAATACAAGAACGACGGACTGTAAGGGAGTCTTCTTAAGTGGGATTTATGCCTTCTACACTCCAAACACCAAAACCAACTTGCCCTAAGTAAAGGAAAGCTACTGCAGGGCAGCCAAGGCTGGAGGAAAGATGACGATGCCAAAGCAAAGATTCCCTTACCAACCAGGAGGCCAAACAGATGCACAAGAAAGAACAACTTYGGCGCAACACAGGGAAGAACAAAGTAAAGCAAATGTGGCCAAAAGAAAATAGGTGAGCAGGAAATTACTGCAAGCAAAGCCAGAAGACAGGTGAAAGAAGGAGAGGAAATGGACACAGGTCACCAGCTCCCAGAGCCAAGGGCAGCAGAGCTGGAGAGGAATAAACTGGGCATAGAACAAAAAATTTGAAAAGCAGAATTAAGGAAATATTCTTTAGCAATCACAGCTCTAAAATAACCTACACATAAAGACATGTACCCAACAAGACTGTACAACACCAGAAGACCAGGCAGAGCCCTATGTGTGGAGCATGCCTCTTCTAAGGCTAGCAGGTGGTTCTCRGCCACACACTATCAGTGAGGCCTCGAGCCAGTCCCTTCCCTTCCCTGTGCCTCAGTTTGCCCATCCTGGGCAGTGGGGATAACAGCGGTCCCTACTTCACAAATCAGTACATGTGCAGATACAGGGCGCAAGCCACTCTAGAACCAGGGCCATGCCTTTGTGTTACCGCAAAATTGTTCATGAGACAGCAGGCTACTTRAGAAACACAAGCAGGGGTCACTCCACGAGGGGACAACATGTGCCGGGTCAGCACTTGTCTACACCTTCTGGACAGCCAGGCTTTTCCAGGGGCAGAGGGAAACTTACTTAGCACACATATAGGCATTGTCTCCACTCAGGACATCTGGCTTCACAAAAAGTTCCAGAGCACGCACAATATTTGCAGCTTGCTGAGAAGGAGAAAAACAGGGACTCAATCAACAGCAGGAAAAAGGCTGACTCAAGAAATGCTGGATTTGGTCTCTTCCAGAAAAGGCTGAGGCAGCAAATCACAAAACTTAATTTTGCATAGAACTGATGCACTGACTGCCCACTCCTGAGATGGGAAAGTCCACCACAAAGGAGCAGAGAGCCAGGCTGTGCCCTTTCTCTGGTGGTRACAGTGACATCTACGACAGATGTGCCACGTGAATCAGTCCCTTTCAACCAGAATGCAGYGGGATCGGTTCAGACAACTGCAGTGAAGGGAGAGCCCAAGGCCTCGCAATAGCAAGCCCAGCAAACTGAAGRGCCCCAGGCATGCCCTGAAGTCTTCAGGTCATGTGGGGTGACTACGCTGGCACGCTGCTGCTGGGCACCCAAGGCTCAGTTCACCACTTTTTTTTTTTTTCAAATGAAAAGAATACACACAGGAGAAAATGGACAGACATGCAGATGCGCTGCACTCGTGGCAGCCAGGGTTCTTTCCTTGCTCTCTCGCTCGTCTGCTCTGGCGCCTGCCCCGCACTGCGCTCCCTCTCCTGATGCACACGTGAGCACAGAGCCTCCCGTACCCGGATCTCCAGCGCGATGTCCAAGTAGGGGTCATAGGTGTCCGAGACGCTCTTGCACACGGCACACTTCACTGCAACAGAACAAGGAAGCGGTGGGTAGCCCACGTGGGGACCCAGGCTCCAACACCCARGAGGGGGCTGAGGGCTACAACTAACTCTCCACTGGCTTTTGCGAAGAGGATCGCCATGCCAGCCCCTTGAGAGTCAGAGTTGTGAGAGCTCCCTCTCACCAGCGGTGCTGCAATGCCAGCCCCACTCCTGTGGGCCTGCCCTGACGCCRACAGGCCAGCCTGGTGAGCCCTCTCAGGAGGAGGACAACAGCTCAAGCCGAGGACCTAAAATAGCACCAGCACTCTGTGTGCATGCTCCAAACTTTTTCGCTTAGAAGTGAGCAGTGGACCTAGCAGGTGACCAGGGCTTCAGAGCCCCGTGACTGCATGCCTGGAGGCTCAAGGTTCCTGAGTCACGCTCCAACCCAATAAGGCATCAGGCTGGGTGGAGAAACATCCCCACTTACCTCGTGACCTGAGGTACCCTCCAAATATCTGATGCACCAGGGTAGTAGCCTGTGTCTGACGATCCAATCTGCAAAGGAGGCCACATGCCCTTGAGCGCTTCATGACACACAGAGCTGTACTCACACTCAGCCCCACGGGACCCAAGAGGCTCTCCCCAGTCAATGCCCTAATCTGTGTCTGAGCTCCCAGCAGTGCCCTGGCTTCCCACAGAGCTCCCTGAATCAGTAGGCAACCCTGCTGCCTGCTCCTCAGGAAACCACAAGCTCAGAAATGCTCTGCATCCTCACCATCTCGCCGCTTCTTTTCAGTCTCAATAAGATAAGGAGGATCCAAACATGGGATGGGGCTGGAGGCCAAGCCTCCCACACCCTCCCCTGGGCAGTGGAGCGATGGAATGGGCAGGAGCAAAGCCCTTCCATACACTTCTTAGCTGAGGACAGCAGAGACAGGCCATCCTGCATTCTAATCCCCCAGCATTGCTTCCTCAGCAGAGCCTGGGCACTGAACACCCACTCCTGCCAGCAAAGGCAAGACTATGCACAGCACCCCACATTGGATCTCTGCTCTTGGCTCCTCGCCCACCCTCTGCATCTGGCTATGAAACTATCCTCCTCCACTACCAAAGGGCTCTGCAGCACCAATCTCACAGCTTTGGAACCTTCTATAGAAGACTGGGGTACCTGCTCCCCTGACTAGTGCCCCCTTCCAGGCCCCTGGCTCCCTCCAGACTGCTCATGGGCATCTCACCCTGAGCCAGGTGCAGAGGGTGCTGCCTCCAGGGCTCCCTTCACACTGTGTCTGCAGTTTTCGCTGCAGCTTTGCCAACTCCTACAGAGCATGAGTTCCATGCCAGGCCTTCACTGACCTAATGCTTCCCAGACTCTGGGAGCTCCAAAATATTTGAGGGACCAGATTTTTGCATTGTTAGAAAAAGTTAGAAAATGTAAAGTCAACTGCTACTACCTACTAGCACCACGATTCATCAAAAGAAGGTATGTTTTAACCAAAAACCAGCAAGGACACGACCTCAGAGCACATGCAAACTTGTGGATGGCTCTATGCTGGACAGTCATGGGGAAGGCGTCAGGAAGTTCCGAGGCATCCCATGAATACGTTCTGACCACAGTGCAAGTCACACCCAAATCATCCATGCCACCAAACCCAAAAGGGCCTTCCACCTGCACGTTAAACAGAACACTGGGCTTTCTCTCCCCTACCTCTCTCTAGACCAGTGGAAGTGAGCACCACATCCCACCTGGCACCTGATCTGCCTCCCTTCGTCCAGTGCTGGCCAATGGTTCAAACCACATACCTGGACTCTCTCCTGGCCACATGAACCCAAACTACCCCTTCCCCCAGCCCACACCCCCAGCCTCTCCCATACACAGATCCTGGCTGAGTGGTCAGGCCTGGGCCCGGCATCAGCTCCTGTCTTGCGCTTGCCAAGTGACTACTCTGTGCCGGCCACTACTCCAGACCCCACAGCCCTTTCACCTGCTCTGCAGGCTCTCACCCAGGCCCAGTCACACACCTCTYGACTTCAGCCAAATGAGTTCTAGGGTCACTTCTCCAGAGGAGGTGGCAGGGTGGCTCCCCATCATAAGGAGTGATCCAGTCCCTGGAGACCACATTTCCCACAGGGTGATGTAATGCTGGCTGGCTGACTTGTCTTCCAACCACACTGGGAGCTCCTCAGACTCAGGATCTCATTGGTACCTTCTAAATTCCCAGCACCTGCTACTAGTTTGGCACTCAAAGGTATTAAGCAAATAACTAGTGCTTGAATTAGATTCCATGAAAGGAGTAGACCCTATCTGTGTGGAGGGAAGGGCTCAAGTCCCTCCAGCAGGGAGGGAAGAGCCCATGAGCAAACCCTCAGATAGTGAACCAGAATACAAGAATCTCACAAAAGATTASTATTTATAAATCAGACTCTCATCCACTGAAACCAGTGGTTTCCCCATTTTAACCACTGCTACAACTCAACCAACCCTTCTAAAGAACAGTCTAGATGTTTCCTACATTGTTTAGGTAAGTATTTTCAGAATATTCAGTTCTCTTTGGAGCCTGGTCTCAGGACCAGTGAACTCAGGGAGCACACAAAAGCACCTCCAACCAGTCGCGGTGGTGCATGCCTGTAATCTCAGGGGCTTAGGAGACCAAGGCGGGCTAAATTGTAAGTTCAAAGCCAGCTTCAGCAACTTAGTGAGGCACTCAGTGAGACCCCATCTCAAGGGCCGGGGGTGTGGCTCAGTGGTTAAGCACCCCTGGGTTCAATCCTTACACCCCYCCACAAAAAAAAGCACTTCCAGATGGTGACCAGAACCCTCAGGACACATAAGAGGAAGCAGTCACTTGCTACAAAGGTGAAGATGCAGCGAACACAGTGTCAAACACTGAACACCAGAGCCCCACCCTGTCTGCATCCAAGAAACAAAGTGACTTTAGAAAGACCAGAACTTCCCCAGGAGACCTGAGAAAGCACTTCCCCTCCCCTGAGCTCCAGGACGGCACTGCTATGGCCTCGCCCTGCCACCTGATCCTGCCACTGTCAGGGGCAAGGGTGCTGGGGTGACAGTCTCGCCCTGGCAGCCCCCTGCTTGGGCTCTGGAAGTCCGGTATCCCACACGAACTCTGCCGTCCACAGAGGAAGGTCGGGAGGTGGAGGGCTGCTCCCTCCCCAGGCAGTGCCACGGAGCCGGAGCCGCAGCCCCAGGAGAAGTGGGAATGGAGGACCTACTTGGCACAGCCGTTCAAGCAGGCCTTCTGCATGGCGTCGATGGTGTAGCGGAGAAACTCATGCGCATCCTCTTGGTTCCCAAAGCGGAAGTGCCGGGCGATCTCTGAATGAGAAGACAATGGGTAGGAAGAGCTGTCAGCCCCACTGCCAATCACCAGGCGCCTCAGGGGAAATGTGCAGCTCTCTCCTTAGTGAGACTGAGGGCTTAAACCCTGCTCCTTAGCAGGAAGCAGACGCCACTCAGATGTAAGAGCCGCCAATAAACCAGCTTCCCAAGGCAGCCCAGAACACGAATGAATCCAAACCCTGCTTCAGTGCCACAACCTACACAGGTTCAAACTGCCACTGTGGGTCCATCTTTCCTGCCAAGTGAATGGGAAATCTGATTCCCACAGCATGCGCTCCTCTGACGCCCAGAAAGACTTGGCATGTCCCCACCTGCCCCCCTCCCCTGCTCGCCTGCCAATACTAAACACACACACAAGCAGTCCCTCTGCCTGGCCCGACCCATCCTCACCAGGAGGACTTCTCCACCCACCTGACCCAGCCCCTCTCAAAGCCCACCCTTTGGTCCTCACTGCTAAATGCAGTATCTTTARCATGCAAGGATTCCGAAGACCCCATGCGTGACTTTCTCGGCCGTCCAGCGGCTCACAGTGCCGACCAGAGCTAGTGTTTTGCAGGCATTTCACCATGGGTCCACCCTTACTTTTCAGATCACGGATGAAGGAGACGGGCTTGATGGCGTTGCCACTGTTGGCGAAGGCCTGGACAATGTGGTTCTGCATGAYGCACAGCATGCAGAAGCTTCCGTGGTGACCTGCCACATGGAAGAAGCAATGTTAGGACAAGAGCTTTCTCAAGAACTTAGAATGATACCTCCAAATGAGGCCTCCCCAGACCTGTGAAGGTCGTCGGCTGGGTGGCAGAGATCCCAGGGCTATGGACTCGGGATCAGAAGGAAAATGCTCCCTTTGCTGGAGAGTGCTGGGGGGTGGCCATGACTCGCCCACAGCGGTAGCTCTACACACTGCACACCAGCACTGCAGGTAGTCACTGGTCATGCCGCACCATTATCATTTATACAAAGGATAAGCTCAACTTTCAACAGGAAGCTCAGAAAAATATCTCCTTTAGTTTCTAAGTTATGTCATTTGGCCAACATTCTTAAGTATTTTAAGGCTTTCTGATGGTTCTTCAGTTTGCACCTCAAATGCAGGTACCTCGGCTCTTCTGTGTGCAGTAAATACCTCACTGCCATTCATCAGTGCTGAAAACTGAGGCTCAAAACAGCAAATATTTTTGGTCTTGTAAACTATGCCATGTCCACCACAACGGTGCCCTTCTGCCACTGTAATGCAAAAGCAGCCACACACAATATGACAGGTATGCAAGTGCTCAACAAAACCTGACTACAAACCAGGTCAGGCCCACATCCACCTGCTGACCCCTGCTGGATGTAAAGAACTGGTTTCTCACTAGGCACAGACCMAAGTGGCACATTCTTACCTCTACAATTGAGATGTATTTTAAATACAAAATATGTACAAAGACTATCATACCACCCAGCCCCACTCCATTTTAGGTGTCTTGTAACTAAAACACTAGTGTAAGAGTTGRACTCTCCCAATCCCATCTCTAGGTTCCTTCATCCAGGTGAGCACTACCTGGGACGAGGCCATTCCTGTAGTGTTCACACATGGTGCGTATCCATAAGCAATAACTGCTGTTTGCTTACAAACTCCATCGCTATCAGCAGCCTGGTTTTTACAATACTGCTGTAGACGCAGTGCTAGTCCTGTCACCACTATCTCCCCACGGCATAGCAATCCTGTGAACAGTTGTTTCACATGTCTCCAAGAACATTCACAAACCYAGTTTTCACCGTAGACTTCTGACCTGTCAAACCATATCCATTCATTACATTTTTAAAAAAATGATAGTAATGGTTGGAGGACTCAAAAATTAGGACTCATAAACTAGAATTAGTAACTTAAAACAGGGACTTTAAAAACTGTTAAAAGCCCTTCTGTTCAAGATCTAACCTTAATGAGGATAGGAAAGGCATACGGAAAGTGTGTGTCCCCTCACCATGTGGGAGCCCACTAATGCCCAGCCTCACACAACACCCCTTAAATAGAGCAAGGTATAACCTAAGGTGCAGTTTCCCCAAACCCTGGCAGTGTCTGAGATTAAGTCGTACAGGGACAAACACTTTTTCGTGCAATTTATAAAACCATAACTCAAAAGTGACTCCCATGACTTCAGGGACACTGCTGCTCAGGGCCTGCCTGTGTCCCTCTGGGGTTGCTCACGTGCTGGTCTCCCATCTCACTGCTGCCCAGGAGGCCCCTGGTGCAGTGCAGCCTCCACCTTCAGGGCTCCTCTAGCAGCACCRGGAGAGAGAGCGCACAGCCCAGTCCACACGGGGCCCTCTCAGGTATGGGTGGGGTGCAGGGAGGAAAGACCATGCCTCTTCTCCATACATCTTACACAGAATGCCGGGACACTGCACGCATTAATACTTCGTGTGGCAGTGGCCTCCACTAGGGCAGCCAGTGCTGCTCACAGGAGGAAGAGTGGGCAGTCCACCCAGAGGCACCGACCACAACTGTTCACTCATAGGCCTGCTACCGATCCATGCCACTTACCTGTGCACGTCACCAGGACTTAGAGACGTGACCTACTTTAACTAAATTCATCATCACAAAGCTGAAAAATGGCTCAAAAAATACTCGTGCAGAGAAACCCAGAATGGAAGACAGCTAGCTCTGTAGGGAGACAGCAGGAGGAAGACGGCAGCACGACCTCACCGTCTCGCTGCCAGAGCCAGAGAGAAACACAAGGACACCTGCCAAAGCGCACTCAGAAGGCCACCTGGACAACCTCCAAGTCACCAAGGAGACTACTGGAAACAGGGCAGGTCCCAGTGCCAAGCACCAGTTCCACCCTCGAAGAGCACGGCCCCGGCCCTGGCCCTCTGTGGCTGTGTGCACCACAGGGCACCTCCCATTGCTCTCTTTCACAAGAGAACCCACCCCCTGCATTCGGCACACAGCCCCACAACGTTGCCCCAGCTCTGCTCCTGCCTTCTCCATCCCCCTGCCTCTGGTTCCACTCTCGTTTCCTGATTCTGAACTGTTCACCTATCCTCTTGGTCCCTTTCCTTCCTTGAAGTTTCGCCACATACACGTGCACCTCAATGCTCCATTCCCGGTCTGCATGTCAGCGACATGAGGAGGAGTCACAGCACCTGGCTCCYGGGGATTTCTCCTGTGCAGGACCCTCAGAAGCTGCCTGTCAGCTCTGCCTTGCTCTGTGGTTGGGCTTTTGCTTGCTGTCTTTTGCTGCAGATATTTTTATAATGTTTTCTATTTTTCATTTTAAAACTTTCTGAGGTGGGGTCTCACTAGCAGACCTGAGTGATTCCCCTGCCTCAGCCATCAAGGAGCCAGGACTATACCAGCAGACATTTTTACACCCATGCTAGATCCTGGCTGTAGGAGCAGAATTGCCGGGTGATAGACTTTGTGAAAGTTAATGCCATACTRTTTCCCAAAGCAGTCATGCTAGTTCAGGCTGGGAGTATAAAAAGAATCCCCGAGCTTCATCCTGACAATCACACTGAACCTCTGAACTTTTATGACTCACCAAGGTGAGAGAAATGGTACCCTTTGTGATTTTCATGACCTCCTCGAGGACTACCCCGCTGAACATCGTAGCATGTGCTTCTCTGATACCTTGAATTGCCTCTTCTAATTTTATCTATTACTTTATTTTACTTATCTATTTATTCATGTTTTGGTACTGGTGTTAAACACAGGGCACTTGACCTCTAAGCCACATGCCCAGCCCTTTTAATTTCTTATTTTGAAACAGGGTCTTGCTAAATTGATGAGGCTGGCTTTGAACTTGTGATCCTCCTGCCTCAGCCTTCCAAGCTGTTGGGATTACAGGCGTGTGCCACCTCGCCCAGCAATTTTATCTTTTTTTTGGCAGGCAGGGTGGTAGTGGTGGTGGTGGTGGGTTCCCGGGAATTGAACTCAAGGGCACTCGACCACCGAGCCACATCCCCAGCCCTATTTTGTATTTTATTTAGAGACCGGGTCTCACTGAGTTGCTTAGCACCTCACTTTTGCTGAGGCTGCCTCAGCCTTCGGAGCCACTGGGATTACAGGCGTGTGCCACTGCGCCCAGCAATTTTATCTATTTTTTAACAATCTTTTATGTTGATTTTTAGTTCTTTATACATTCTTAACACCAATGCTTTGTTTGTTCATTTCAGGCTTGTAACTGGTCTTTTAATTTTCTTTAACTCACTATGTCTTGGCATCCCCTACAAAGACTTTGTCAATGCCAAGATATATTTGTTTTCTGATAAACAGAAGTCCTTAAAGCTAATACGTCTGAGTTTACCAAATTTTTTTAATGATCCATGCTTTAAGTTTTAAGAAACCCCCTAAGGTCAAAAAACTATTTACCGGGCTGGRGTTGTGGCTCAGCAATAGAGCGCTTGCCTAGCACATGKGAGTCCCTGGGTTCAATCCTCAGCACCACATGTACATAAATAAAATAAAGGTATTGTGTCCAAGYACAACTAAAATATAAATATTAAAAAAGAAAGRCTTTAGATAGRAGACTCTCAAAAGATAATATCAGCAGAGTTTWAAAAAAAACTATTTACCTACATTTATTCTAAATGCACTGAGTTTTTCTTTTGATACTAAGTTTTTCATTCACTCTTTTCTTTTGCAAATGATCTGATATGAAAACCCTGTGTCAGTGTCTACCTAGGTAAAGCAAAGTGTTTGTTTTGATTCCAGTTATTAAAATGACAGACCCAAGTAGGATTATGTACAGTCAGTCTGCACCTCCACATATCCATGGGTATGTGGCCTGCTTCTGGGCTCTCYGTTCTACTCCACTGGTCAGGACATCCCTCCTACATCTAACACTATGACTGTTTCACCTCCGAGACTAYACAGCAAGCCTCTATTTGGTAGAACATATCCCTTCTCATAGTCGTCTTCTTCAGAAGTGCCTCTGAGGTCTGGAAATGTTACTTCAGTGGTACAGCCCTTGCCTAGCATGTGCCAGGTCCTGGGTTTCATTCCCAGCAAAACAYACACCACCAGCAAATAAATGGTATTTTGGCCATTTTTGGTCCCTTGCTTTTCTATTAAATTTTAAAACCAACTGGATGAACAYTAATCTACAAATCTGGGGGAAAAAAACAACATTTTCATTAGTACTGGGGACTGAACCCTGGGGTGCTTTATCACTAAGCCACATCTTAAGCYCTTTTTACATTTCCAGACGGTCTCCTTAAGATGTTTAGGGCCTTGCTGAATTGAACTTGGGATCCTTCTGACTCAATCTCCCTGTACTACCACACCCGTTGAAAACCAACATTTTCATAATGAGAAGTCTCTCCCCTGTTAAGGCAACTTTCTGTCCATTCARGTAGGCTGTCATTTAATGTCCTTCAGTGAAGCTTTTCCACATGCACCTCACTAAATTTAGGTCTAGCCTTTATTGCTTATGTTGCTATTTTTTTAAGATAGTAAATTGTTTATTTGGTAAGAAAAATTCAGCTAAATTTTATATATTGATTTTATGTCGAGTCACATTGCCAAATTCCCCTTGCTAATTTGTCTACATATTCTTTTGATTTCACATGTTTTCAAATTATTATAGTACTCTCCCTTCCTTTCCTATATGCCACAGCTCTGGCCAGGTGCAACACAATCTTTCTTTCTTTCTTTTCTGGCACTGGGGATTGAACCTAGGGGTGTTCTACCACTGAGTTTAATCCCTAGCCCTATTTTTTATTTTGAGACAGGGTCTCACTAAGTTGTTCAAGGCCTAAGTTGCTGAGGCTGGCCTTGAACTTGCAATCCCCAGCCTCAGCCTCCCAAGTTGCTGGGACTACAGGCCAGTGCCACTGCACCCAGCCAGGAGCACCACGGTCCTAAACAGAGGTGGTGAGGGCAGCCACACATGCCTCACCATGATCTGAAGTGTACACTTCCAGGACTTTCTTCTTTAGAATGGTGCTCTGTGCCTTTTGTGTTTTTTAGCACTTGTGCTTTTATCAGGGTAAGGAAATGCCCATGTATTACTACTCTGCTAAGAGTTGTATTTCTTTTAATTAAGAATATTTTCAGCTGACTTTTCTCTTTCACTTCATTAATAAAGCAATTAATTGCATAGGTAGCAAAATTAGCAGTCACTTATACAGCACTTTCTGTGTGTCCAGCCCTGCGCTCAGCATTTCACATAGCCACCTGACAACTCTGTAAGGATGATGCTATTTTGCACCCCAGGACAGGGGGCACAGAGAAGGCAGGCAGACTCCCAGCAGGACTGGGAGGCAGGCCTGCAGGCCAGCTCCAGGCCCTCAGCTACAGTGCTGTGGCCCTGCAACTTTATGAGATTTCCTGGCAGCAAAATGCCTTCATAGTCCCCTGCTCATGTTCTGAAAAACCATTCAGTCTGCTAGTATTTCATCTAGAATTTTAAACCTAGTTCATGAGATTATAAATTTTCTTTCTCATATTATCCTTAATTTTGAAATCCAAGTTATAAGAACCTTCCAGAACAAGGAGGGGAATATTTTCTTTTCTGATTTTCTAGRTGACTTTGTGAAGGATCGGCATGATTTAGTTCACAGAACTTACCTATAAGGGCTGGGATGTAGCTCAGGGGTACAGCATTTGCCTAGCATGCATGTGAGGCCTTGGGTTTGATCCCCAGCACAAAAGAAAAAAAACAAAACAAAAA